ACTGTGTGTAAAAGAGAGTTTTATATCCAAGAGTAAAAACATCCCGACCCAGTTCAAATCAAGTTCATAAGTCCGATATTAGTCCATACATCTTTCTACAGACTCAAGTAGCATCTGCAGTGATGCTGAAAGCAGGAAGATCACAGGCCAGTTGGTGAAAAGTCTTATGGAAGCATCTCAATGCTGGTGTGGCTCTCCATGTGGCTCCTCCAGCTGCAGGGCTCTGGCTGCCATCAGCATGGCTCCCTGTGGCTAGTCAGCAGAATGTGCAGTAGAGTGTGTGTGTTAACTGCAGGGAGGAAGACAGAAGTTCCCAGAATCCTCAGGAGAAGGCCATGCCCATACTGAGGCATCGTTGGCTGTGACCTGATTGACAGGCTAGACTCCACCCCAGTACTCAAGTTGACATTACATAACTGCCAATTATGAGCAACCAACTGGGGATCAGTCATCCAGAAAAGAAAGGTTAGAATAGTGAACATTAGATCCCAATGGAAATATGACTTGTGAGCTAGTGAATAGTGATGACATTCTCAAAGATCTAAGAAAATAGTGGCCTCTCTAAAACAAAAACAATGTAATGGAAACAACTGATTTCTCTTGTATTTCTTTCATGGTAGTATGCTGTGCTTTGTATTACTCTAATTTTGAGAAATGTCTGCCTTCTCAAGACTATAAAGTACTTGCAGGCAGAGTACAGTAGTGACCTGTAACCATGATTAATTTAATGTTGGTGGGCAGGCAATTCTTAGCCTGTTAGTTGGAACCGCTGTAGACCTTTATTCGGTGTCCAAGGCACAGGGGAGTGGAGTAGAGCTAGAGCCATTCTTGGTGGGCTTTTGTTTATTCTTACTCAATGTGAAATCAAAACAAATTGGCATACAAGCATGTACCAGACTGATTTTTAATGGTGTGGTGTACCTTGTATTTTGGCAAATCCAGGCACATCGTGTAAGAGCTCAAATACTTTCTGAAATGGGAATAAGTAAAGAAATGTTGAAGGAGCTTCTCTACTGCCTTGCCATCGATCCTGATCTTACCCCCGTGAAGAAAGAAGCAGAGAAGGTGTGATTTCCTTTCAAAGATTTCATTCCTGAGAATCCATGTCTGACAGTCTTGGGGTCCGTGCTGGTAACTCTTACATGTAAAATACATCAGAACTGCCATTCTGATCATTCCTGACAGTGGAATTAAAAGCACGCACTAGCAACGATGACATGAATGCATTTTAGAACTTCTGTATGTATGCCCACAGATGAAGCCTAATACATTCTGGTGAGACCGCATGCGTGCCTTCCAGTTTTGTTGAAATAATGTGACGTTGAGGCAAGGTTGATGTGTGAGTCTGGAGAGGCAAAAGGGTTTGGGTTTTGTCCCTATGGAGCTTGCAGTCTCGGGTTTTGTAGTTTGGCCCAGGAACCTGACGAAGTGACACCTAACAGATCAATTCAGCTGGACATTTCTAGCCAAGCATTGCCAGCATAGTACAGAAATAGCTATTATTCTGGCCCAGCTCCACTCATGGGAGATCACAGTCACTGCTGTTGTTGGAATCTGTGCTGTAAAAAAGCTTCGATGGCTCGGTTACCCATGCTTTTACTCAGTAGTACTTCACCGACCCTTGGTTTTCCACTCTTTTGCTTACTGTAACATAGTTGGTCAACTCCATATATGTCTACCCTGTGATTCCCACTTAACAGTTGCAGCTTTATTTCCTAGAGCAACAGAACAATAAATCCATTCCTCCTCTTACATATCCAAAGGTGCCCTGGTGGCAATGCGGCAGAGTTGCTGGACTTACCAGCCCCAGGGTCGGAGAAAATTGAGGCTTACTGATTGAATCATGGAAACCACACGATATAAGGTTGCTGTGGGTGAAAGTCAACTAGACAGCAGTGGTTTGGGCCTTTTCGACTTTTTAAACCACTATAAAGAGTTGAGAATGGCTACGAACGAGGCCTTCTACTCCTGTGAAGAGTTAGTCTCAAAACCCCCAGGGGCAGTTCTACCCTGTCCTATAGGGTTATCATGAGTTGGAATCGTCTTGGTGGCCAGGAGTTAGATTTTTGGGGGGGTGGGGGTGGGGGGTTGATGATGTTAGCTAGGAGTCCTGGTGGTGCAGCGGTTCAAGCACATGGCTGCTAACCAAAAGATGACTTTCAATTCACTAGCTGCTCCGTGCAAGAAACATACCTGCTTCCTTAGGGATTGACCGTCTCGGAAATGTTATTGGGCAGTTCTACTCTGTCCCGTGGGCTCCTGTGAGTTGGAATCCATTGGACAGCAGTGGTGTGGGTATAGTATGGTACATCTATAGGTATTCTATTAGCCTGGACTTGTTCTTTAGGACAAGCATCTTGTTCTCATAGTACATCTCTAGTCTAGTCTTCCTACTGGGGGGGGGGGCAATTCAAGTGTACATACCCCAGGTTTCAGCATCTCGGTTTGGTAACTACAAATAGTGATGCAGCTTTTTCTCTCATGTCCACATCCTGGGTGCATTTATTTTTTTGCTCAGATACCATAGGCATAATTGGCTCTTAGTATGCATTTAGTTGGCCAATATGTAATAACTGGTTTCATTTTGTTTTCTTTCAGAATTGTCTTAGTCAAAAAACCATTGAATTCTTAAGCAATTGGCCATTTTTAATCCCTTTAAATTTCTGCTTACTAGATTTTGGCCATCATCTCCACTCATCAAAATAACTTTGAATCTTGAGTTGCCTGGGTAAATTAGCCCTGTGCCTGCTTTGTCCCATCTGAGTTTCCTACACATCTCATATCCGCGCTGTGAGAAATCCAGTCCAAGGTCAGGGAGATAGCATGTGGACAGTGTAGGCACTATGGATTCTGGCTGCTGCTTGTCCTTCCAGGATTCCGTGGGTGACTTTCCCATGGGGAAATGTCTTCCGCAATGCCCCCGGACATGGTTAGCCTGCTGATACTCACGAAACATGGCACCATCCCTATTAGCCACCAGCACGCAGCTAGCTCTGCTGGGCACAGGTATCCCTGCTGAAGTTGCTGCTGCTCCGTGCTGTGGACTTAAGCCGCTCTTTTTTGCCTCGTTCCAGCTATTGGTGTCCTCGGCATCCTTCTGCGTGGCAGGCAGAATGCCTAACTGGTGATTCTGGCCGCCTGTTCTGGACTAGAATCCTGGGCCTACAGCTTCACTTCCTTTAACGTTCTCTGTCCCGTGGCTCTTCAGATTCCTCATCAATAGAGCCGTCTCTTAGATATGCCTCAGTCCTATGACTGATCTCAGCTTACATTCAATGGAGGAATCCCTACAACCCATTTTTCTCTGATCCCTGAGATTTTGCGTAGCAGATATGCAAGGGCCAGGCCGAGGGAAGTTATAATGGTCCCATTTTATCATTGGCAAGGTGTGACATGGGAAGAGACTGGGAGCTAGTATGCTTAAAACATTCCATCTGGTTTCAAAACCATTTGAATTTTAAGATTGGCGAATGCACATGGTCATAGCTTCACGTTTTAAAGCTTGTTTGGTGTCCTCTGAGTCCTTAGAGTATGTTCCATATTTATTCAAACATGTTTTAAAATGTTTTTCTTCTCAATTTTACAGGTGTTGTATGAGCTGTTTTTTGCGGACTCGGCAAGTGTGCATCCCAGTCCAGCCCCTCCCTGTCAGCAGCAATCACCAAGCAATGGGCTGGCACATAACAACCATACCGAGGGTTCCCAGGCTTCGCAGGCACAAGACCATAATGCAGGGATTTATGGGGTATGAAGTGCACGTGGTAGTCGACATAATCCCGGCTCAGCTTTTATGTAACTCCCATGTTTTAGCGGCATGACGTGACGTCTGTTTGCAGTATTTCTCATGATCATACTGTATAGCTCCGCGGTGTAAGAGTTGAAAATTCCAAAGGAAGTCAGTAGAAACAATGAAAATGAATATAGCAAAGAACTTTAGAACCTCTCAGTGATCTAGAATATCAGGAGACAGATGTATTTTGGTTAACAGAAATGATTTAAGGTTGGATATGCAAATGTTTTAATGCTACTGTAAACAGCATGTGTACAGTACATGTACGTGAAGATGAAGATAAGGCTTTCATTTCTTTAAATAGGTGAGATTCAAAAGGAAGTACAATTTTTCTTTGAATATTTACAAGATGGCTACCGTGTGACTCTTCCCCCCACTCCTTTCATGCTGTGATGTAGTGTATAGGATTCTTTTTCTTTTTTTTTATTCTTACTACCTAGGTTCAGTACATGGAACTTACTGCGTCTGAGAGCAACAACTCAGCTGAATCTTTTCTAAACAGTCTAACCTTCGAAAAAGAAGATGACAGAGAAATAGACAGTTTCCTTTACATCAGACCCCCCTCCGCTGCTTTAAAGAGACAGTTTCCAAGAGGTTCAAAGAAAGTACCTCACCAGAACACCGTTGAGGAAACTCCCAAGAAGGGTCAGTAAACCTTTGATACTCACTTGTTTGTTAAACCTTCTGGCAGATCCGTTCACCATAGTAGAGCTATTTGCTAAATACACCGTAAGATCCCTCTAATCCTATTGTGTGATGGAGCTGACTCCCTCTCACAGTGACCCTGTAGGACAGAGTAGAACTGCCTGCCCCTCAGGGTTTCTGAGATAGTAACTCTTTTCAGGAGTAGAAAGCCTTGTCTTTCTCCCTTAGAGCAGCTGGTGGCTTTGAACTGCCAACTTTGCGATTATGAGCCTCACAGGGAACCATTACATCACAAGGACCTATTGGTCATTTTTGCAGCATGCAAAACCTCAGGTCCTGAAAGTGGAGGGGGAGATAGGGTATTAAATGATGAGAATGTTGGGGAACCGAAGAAGAACCATCAGCCACTTAAAAATTTTTTTATGAGTTACAATTTTTCATATTGTGCAGATAGTCTTATATAAACCGTGTTATTTGTTTTTTTTTAATGCTGTACATGGCCACAGGAATGAATTGATCGGTACAATGTTTTGTATACTTTTTATAAGTATGAACCAAAATAACTGCCATAGCATCAGTTTCAACTCTATTAAGAAGGGAAGATGTTTTGTGAGTGACTCGTGTTGTGGAAGATGTGCACACATTTTGATTTTCTGTAGCTTTAAAACTATTCAACTTTTCAAAATGCACCATGAAATCATATTTGTTAAAGGTTACATTTGAGATCCAACAGGCCCTCAGCAGTGAACTCATTGGGCCCTTTGAGACGCCATTAGGAATGAAGTGAGCCTATCAGCTGGGACATTACAGAACATTGCAGATGGGAGCTCCTGCAATACCTTCATAGTCAAAAATAGAGACATCGAGGTCAAAGTCCAATGCTTATTCACATTCCTAGAAAATGTTTTCATCACCAGCTAAAGCAGCTTGTCCAAAGGAAATGATGTTTATTGCATGCTCTTCTTCAGGTGTTCAAGTGTTAATTTCATCATTTAAACATTTTCCAGATGGAGGGTCCTTACCTCAAACCAGCATGGACTCGGAAATTGTGGATTGCTTTTCAGTAGATGTAACTGACCTTACGTGTCCACATTGCATGAGGTAGGGTGGCAATAGGATTCTATCTATACCTAAACCTAGGGATCTTTTCTTACCAGAGAAATTACCAGTAATGCCGTAACGATTGATTTCTTTTCTCAAACCTTGTCGAGAGATTATAAAATAGAAGTGGGTGTGAATAAGTTCTCGTAGTGTATGGGAATTGCAGAATGAATCCTCATTAAATAAATAGACGATTATTTAAAGTCTCTGGACTTTTCTCACTGAAAACACTGACTTCCCCACTAAGGTTGCTCTTCGATCCCATCGTTACATCCTGCGGACACACGGTTTGCCTAAGGTGCCTTCTCTGCTACCTTGATGAGGTTCCATGTTGCCCACTGTGCAGAGAACCAGTTGCTGATGTAAGTACATTCTGTGAAACGGGAAGGTGTTCTTCTTATCCTCATATCATGCCTTTGGCTTTGGCCCTTGCTTTCTCCTGCCGCCCTCTTGTTACAGAAGCTTCCCTTTCTCCACACAATTTGATGGGTCTTTTTTCCTCTACGAAAAGGTAGTTCAAGGAATATCTCAGGAATGAGTTCAAGTTGGGTTCTACTGAAATGAGCATATCACTGCATCCTTTTCAGGTGTGACTTATAAATGGTTGCTAGCATTATGGCGTCTTTCATGTGTGCTGTAGGGTGTGGCCCTCCCGCATCTCCTCTTCAGGCAGTCTGACGGACACTGCTCAATTAGGTTGCATAAGATCCAAGACGAAGGCATTCCTGAGGTCAGCCGAGTCCTTTTTAGTATACTGTCGGTTGTTACTGTCTAGTCTGAACTCAAAACCAGGAAAAGCAAGATCCAACCCGAAGCCTATTTCGGTTATACGTGACTGAGCTATAAGCTGTTTAATCCTTCTGCATTAGGTATAGGAGCCCTGGTGGCATAGTGGGCTATGTGTTGGGCTGCTAACTGCAAGGTCAGTAGTTTGAAACCACCAGTCGCTTTTTAGGAGAAAGGTGAGGCTTTCTAATCTGTAAAGTGTTACATCCTGGAAAACCCAAGGAAGTCAGTTCTATCCCAAACTCTTTAGGGTTGCTGTAAGTCAGAATTGACTCTCTGGCAGTGGGTTTGGATTTTGCATCAGGTATAGCACTTAGAAACAACACTTAATGGGAATAAGACCTCCTGATCAGTTTCTCAAATACTGAATTCTATATTAACTACATTGGACTCTGGTCCTTTCAGTACCAACTAACTTTCCATAAAACTAGAAAAATAATAAAAATGGGTTGCTGTGTTTTTGGTGAAAGTATACAACACGTTCATTCTCAACAATTCTCACACGTTTTTCTGTGACAGACAGATTCTGCTTTCTCCCCATTTCTACCCTATTGCCACCAATCAAATAATTTCCCTGCCCCCCCCCACGTGTCTCATCTTTAATTTTGGGTAAATGACCATTGGTCTTGTATGACATGGTATGAAGAGATATTTCACACACCAGTTTAAATTACAATTTTTGCAGCCAAACAATAGGCAGGTCTGGAAGGGGAGGAACAGTAACGCCAAGTATGCACTCCTTAGACTCCTCAACCATGCTGAGCTCAAAAGGGAGTAGTTCCCCAAAACAGCTCAGCTGGGTGAGGGAAGGGAAGGGAAGACCGGGAGACAGGAAAGAGAAGGAATGGGATAGGTCATATTATGTTGAGAAAATTGCAATCACTGATAGGAAACAAAATGGGTATGAACTGTTGAATGGAAAATGGATCTTCTCTGTAAATCTTCACCCAATAAACAGTATGAAGTTAGAAAAAGTATTTTTCCCCCACTATTGCTGGTACTTATTAAAATGAGCTGTTACAGTTTAACCTTTCTAAAGCACTATATACTCATACTTTGTTCAGTTGCATATTTTCTGGCTCATCATGGTGAATATCAGTTGTTGTCATAATGGTAGACAGGCCCTAATGTTTTAGTCTGTTTCTTTTGGTGATTTTTGTTCTGATTTACATTGCAGTGCATTCTGTCTCCTGCTAGCTGAAGGACATTGCTGCATGGAGACGATTTGCCTGTTTTTGGAAGAGTAAAATGCATATTTCTGTGCCTTTGATTCACTTCCTTGCTCAACTCGGCCTTGTGAAAGGGCTGTGTGAATGCCTACAGATTGTCATGAGAATTTAAGCTTCTTAAGGAGAGACACTGTCTACAGGGATCAGAACCCATCCAATAGGACCTTCCAAAAATTCTAGCTGAATGAATGATAGGTACATGGCACCTGCACATGGGCTTGCACTATTCCCAGAAATAAGGTTATAATACAGTGAACTAAAATAAATGGTCATAACTGGACCTTCAGAAGAGCCTTCATGAACTTCAACTTTCTCAAGTTAATTACATGGGCATGAATTATCAGTTGCATTGTGTATGTATACACCGAAACCTTTGTGAACAAAATGCCAAATGAATTACTTTCATTATATCAACCTGTGTGATCACGGGGTGTCGAACGGATCACTGAAGACAAATGGGTGCATAAGCAAATGTGGTGAAGAAAGCTGATGGTGCCCGGCTATCAAAAAGTATAGCGTCTGGGGTCTTAAAGGCTTGAAGGTAATCAAGCGGCCATCAAGCTCAGAAGCAACAAAGCCCACATGGAAGAAGCACACCAGCCTATGCAACCACGAGGTGTCGAAGGGATCAGGTGTAAGGCATCATCACAACAAAAAATCTTAACATAGTGAATGATGGGGGGAGTGCGGAGTGGAGATCCAAAGCCCATTAGTAGGCCACTGGAGATCCCCTTGCAGAGGGGTCTCGGGGAGGAGATGAGCCAGTCAGGGTGCGATGTAACAATGATGAGAAATACAACCTTCCTCTAGTTCCTAAAGGTTTCCTCCCCACTCCCACTACCATGACTCAAATTCTATCTTGCAAGACTGGCTAGACCAGAGGAGGTACACTGGCACAGATAGGAACTGAAAATACAGGAAATCCAGGACGGATGAGCCCTATAGGACCAGTGGTGTGAGTGGCAAAACAGGGAGGGTAAAGGGAGAATGGGTAGGAAAGAGGGAACCGATGACATGGAACTGTGTGTGACCTCCTCCCTGGGGGACAGACAACCGAAAAGTGGATGAAGGGAGATGTCGGACAGGGCAAGATATGACAAAATACCCATTTATAAACTATCAAGGGCTCATGTGGGAGGGGGGAGTGGGGAGGAAGGGAAAAAAGGAGGACCTAATGTAGGGGGTTTAAATGGAGAGAAAATGTTTTGAGAAACGATGTACAAATGCACTTTACACAATTGATGTGTGTATGGATTGGGATAACAGTTGTATGAGCCCCTAATAAAATGTTAAAAAATAAAAATAAATAAAAAGAAAAAAAATACTTTCATTACTACAGTCAATGAAAGGATCCTACCTATGTCTTTAGTCATCATGATTAGAAGGAAGCATTGTGTATCCAGTAAAAGCCGGTTTTTACCAGTTCTTTTGCTACTGCCATCCTTAGAGTTGTTTCCAAAGGTTGAACCATGCACTTGTATGTGCAAAGAGAAACTCGGCAGTATATGTGGGGCTGACAAAGTACTGTGACAAATAATACGGAGCCCCATATGTGCAGCAGGTTACCAAAGAAAAGGGCACAGAAGCCTGTTAGCTCTGCAGTCATGGCTCTGCTGTGGGCTCTGAGCTAGTCCCTGACCCACTCCTAGACCCAGCTGCTCTGTTGTAGCTCATAGCTGCACAGTTTTACCTTGGTATCCTTTGGGGATTGGCTCCAGGACCCCCACAGATAGCAATGTCTGAGGAGGATTGAGCCTCTTCTATATGGTAACTTAAAATCTGCATCCAAAGGGGCTTCACAAAGTTTGTGGGGGCAATTCTATAGCCTTTGAATTCCATTTTCCACAAAACTTTGAAGCCTCCTCATAGAACCTTATATGTACCTCTTCCTGTGTACTTGAACGCACCTCTGGTGGTAAGTGCAGCCAAGTTGGCACTGACTCTGCGAGCAGGTGAGCAGCAGAACGAACTACCTGGTCCTGGGAGATACTGAACAGCCAGAATGGGTGGCACCACCTGGATAGAGCATGGAGGAAAGACCGGTGACATACTACTAAGGGTGCTGTAGGGTTTCCCAGCCCCTAGATTGCTTCTAGTATGTAATACAACATAAACTGCACTCCATGCTCCTACACCCTCAAAGCCTTTGAGGGACCACTGGTCTTCATTTTCTTAACACCCACCCCCGGAATACTTTCCAGCTGCAGTTATATCCTTTGATGGAGGGTTACAAGGATGAGCCCAATTTATAATGGTTCGCTGGGAATAGCTCTTTGAACACATCGTAACCCTTCAATTCTTTGTTCTTAGCACTTTTTCTTATTTAGTCTCCACCTGCCTTCCCTTCACATACAACTTGAATTCCACAGTCCCTTTGGCCCCCTTTTCTCCGTGTTTGGTAGAATCCACTGTTGCATCTTGCATGTGACCTGTGACTAATGCTACAAACCTCGTCAAACCATAAAATTAGGGAGCTTAAATTGTAAAGTGTAAATGCACCTCTTAAAATCTTAGAGCCAAAACACTGGTAGTCATCCTTATTGCTTTTTTCTCATAACCAAGTTTTTCACTCTCCAAGATGAGTTCACCTTTCTCTTGTCGCCTATTAACCTGTTAAGTCTTATTTCATTCACTTCCTGTCCTCTCACTGCCATTAAGGAAGTAGTCCATCAGCACCTCCTCTCCTCATCGCATAGTAAAGGTTCTCTGTTCCCCCTCTGTGCTCATTCCCCAACCCACCCCTCTCTGCCTCCTTGTTGAACTTCCCTGACAGGGAAGAGAGGGCTTTTCCCTTTAGGATCAATTTCCATGTGGTGTGGCTGGCCGCTGACATTAAACCTTTTCTTCTGTTGTAGCTGTTGGAAAGCAGAAAGTTCATTAAAACGAGACTGACTGAGGAGTTGCTGCATCGTTACCTGCCAGATGCATGGTCCGATAGGACGAGAATTCATGAGGAAGAATTGGCGGCACTGCCGAAGTAAGTGCTCATGCTCTGTGTGTTTGGTTGAGTTCTGCTTGAAGAAGGAAATCCTTGATAACATCACAGTCTGCTTTGGAAGTCTGCTTTGGCAGAGATGATTGGAAATCTGTAAGTGGCAAGAAATTAAGTGCAAAGAATTTATGGAAATTTAATCGCAAGGAGTTGAAGTGTTTCAACTGAATTATGTCATTGCTTTCTGGATTTAGATAATCGCCCACACCAACTTGTCATTTCAACGTGTGGGAACCTCATCTTAGGGTTTCTGAAATAGTAAACGTTTACAGGCACAGAAAGCGTCGTTTTTATCCCATCGAGCAGCGGGTGGGTTCTAACTAACTTCTATTTAGCAACCAACAAGTCAGATGACTGTGTCACCAGGTCTCAGATAAGTGAGGGAATTTCTTGTGGGGGTGGAGGGAAGAAAACCCTGGAGCATTTAGGACTGCAGGGAAGAAAGCAATAGTGCATTCAATCCCCAGTGTCATTAAGTCAATTCTGACTCCTCTCAGTCCTGTACTTGAGGGGCTTTTGAGGCTGTACATCTTTAGGGGGAAAGCAGTTTCCTCATTTTTTGCTTCTGTGGCACAACTAGTCAATTTAAAACAATTGTTGGGTTAACAGTTCAGCTGACCTCATAACCTTTTCAATCACCATGTCGGAATGAATAATGGCATTTTTCTCATCTCATTAAACATTAAATTTTTCATGTGAAATGATGGTATTTTCTCATTTAACGTTAAAAGTTTGATGTTATGATAGCCTTTAACGACAGAGACCTCGCAGCTCTCCTGTTCTGCTCGTTACTTGGGACAGCTCCCGCGTCCCTTTAAGTATAGACATTCTCTGTATATGTTCTGTAGGCTTTGAGTATAGTCAAAGAGGAAGGCATCTTTCCCACTCCCCATGTTAAGTAAGAGATGGGCTTGGCGGGAAACTCCAGATGACCTGCTAGGGCCCTGGCTTAGACTCACTCTGTCCTGAGAATTTGATTTATTTTGTAGGTGAGGAAATTGAAGGTGTGTGGCTTTTGTTCTTCTGCAATGTTGAGTGAGTGCTTCGTTGTGTCTGTAGGAGACTGGGTACCTAGGCTCACAATTATCCTTACTTTGCAGTGTGACCAGAAAAGTTCCCATCTTCCTGGGGACCATTGCCTTCCCTTCCATCATTCGTCCGATCTACGTCAGCGAGTTTGAGTATCATGTTCTGATTAAAAAATGCCGGGAAGTTGGTGCCACTCGGTTTGCCATGTGTTCGCCTCTTGAAAATCCGGGGTAAGAATGGTCAATACACCAGAGGATTTGGATTAGACGCATAATTTGTTCTTTTGCATGAACAACTGAGGATGTGCTTGAAAATGTCCAGTGGCTCCCATTACACCCCAGGGCAGACCTCGCAGGCTGTGCACCCTCTAATCTCAGCTGCGTTGTTAGACTCATTCCCACAGCTTCCTTTCAAACTTGCTTGTGAGGCCGCTGCTGAGAGTGGCCCTTTCCTGAGTGCAGCTCGTGTTCACACTGCCCTCTGCTTGCAGCTTTCCCATAGCCCAGCTGTGCACAGACAAACCCTTGCCAAACTTTCCAGTTGTGTAATATTGCTTTGCTGAGGTTTCGTCCCCACGGCCAGAAAATGACAGCCTTATAAAAAAGTCGTGGCATTTGACAGACTTCACAATCCAGATAATGGAAGGGGCAGCTCTTGAAGGCCAACTGAGGGCTTCTACCCCCTTTCTCTCTGACCCACCAAACAGACTGAGAACATTGTTTTGTGCCTCCTTTTTCTCCTACTCTGGTTTTGCAACCCCTTTCAGAGCAGTTGGTAGAGTGGAAGCTAGGTCATGCTATGTGGGTGTACGGTTAGTCCATTGGACTAGTTGGCTCTGTGTGCCTTGATTTTCGTAGTCTTAACGCCTCCAGCCCTGGGGAAAGGTCGATAGAGTTGTAATGTAGATGGCCGTTCACGCGCTTTGAAAACCCCAGTCGCTACTTGGGTCGCTAGTCTTCGTAGACAGCTCTATCATCCCAGGGAGGGGAGGGGAGGACTACGGACAAAAAAAAAAGCCCTGTGCCCATTGGCAGGTTTCAGCTGCACAGGCATCACACTCAAGTAAGCCCCGCGTTTGTTTCAATTTTGCTGCTGTTGCTGTGGAATCCATTTTGAACACAAGATCTTAGGTTTTGTTTTTGCGCCCTTTGGTTCAATTTTCTTAGGATATCAGTGACACTTAACAAGAGCCAAACAACCCCATGGTTGGTAAATTACAGTCTCCTTTATTTTTGTTTATTCCTAAATCTTTTTGTTGGGAGCCCTTACAGATATTGTAACAGTCCATAGTTCAGTCACATCAAGCAGTATTGTACACTTGACCACAGTTTCTAAAGGTTCTCCTCCTCGACCTCCTTGATATCTGCTCCCCTTTATCCATTCTCTCTCCCCAAACCCTTATTATTGTTAACATATATTGCCATATCTTACCCAGATTATGTAGCTATCACACTATATACAGTGAACCCTCGCCACTTCGCGCTTCGACTTCCGTGGCTTCACCCTATCGCGGTTTTTGCATAACAGCGCATGCTCTGTCACTACTGCCACTGATTGGCTCATACTGTACACGCTTGATGCCATAAATAATATAATAAATAATAAATGCTAATGGTAATGTCCAAAATGTTTTACTGTATTTTCCCTTTTTCATTTAATGAATTGGGTAATACGAGTGTAATGGTGACTAAAGGGTGTTTTTTCATGTCCTCTATGCTCTAACTACGAAAATATTTGATTTACAAATAAGGAATCCTACTTCGCGGAATTTCATTTATCACGGTAGGGTCTAGAACCGATTAACCGTGATAAACGAGGGTTCACTGTATACCTATAAATGTTTTTTCTTCTTTACTACATTTCATTTCTCTTTCCTTTTTCTGCCCCACTATCATGTTTTAGCCATCATTCACCTCTCAGTAGTTTCTCTCAGATACATTTAGAGCCCTTGCCCTTCCCCTGTACCTGTCATAAATGGCTCACTACTCATCACCCCCTGCCCCCAAAATCCCACCCATCCCCCCCCCACACAACCCCACCCCCCCCCCGAACTATCAGTCCTGTCGCTGTCTCCTTGGGTTGCTTATCTGCCTGTCTTGTATGGATAGACACCAAAGAAAGAAGAAAGAGCGTGAAGGACTATACAATAGGACCAAGTCTAACTAATATCCTGACCCAGAGTAGATGAGTTATCTCTGTTAAATGGCAAGCAGGGCCTGTTAGAATCCACCAGCCCAAACCCCTCTTCTTTCAAGGTTCCATGTCCCGGGGGACCTGCTTACCTCACAGCAGATACATCCTCAGCATACCCTTTGTATCGTACACATCCAACAAATCAAATCACACTCATTAGTGCATGACCTGATGATAAAATCCCTGATCATTAGTGAGGTTTGTTTCTAAGTTGTTATTTTGAAATGGCTTTAAGAAATGATAAAATGATTACGCAGACCCTTCACCCAGTGAAACTACAGTCCAGTATCGGAGCAGGAAAGTGCTGTTGATCAAACCTGTTGATCTTACTCAGACTTGGCCAGTTTGACATGCACTGTGGGTGTGTGAGTGTGTAGTTAATGTATCCAGCATTTACTGTGTATTTTGTGCGCATCATGTCACCACCACTACAGTCACCGCACTATACAAATGAATGTAAAAACTCATCACAAATGTACGATGATCTACCATATGGTGTCCTTTTGGGAGCATTTGACGCCACAGCCACATCCCTCCCACTCAAATCCCTCGTGGGGGTAGGGGTGGGGGATGAAACCCTCAGTGGATTTTAAAAGCCACAAGCATTGACTGTTATTTCAGGGTTGGAGCGTGTGGCACTTTGCTGGAGATTAAGGAACGTAGAATTGTAGCAGATGGAAACCCAGTTGTAGATACGATTGGAATTTTGCGGTTCAGAGTCTTAGGACATCGTCACAAAAATGGTCTTAACACTGCAGATCTTGAGCATCTTGAAGATAAAAAGGTAATGTTTATTTTACTGATGTGTTTGTTTAATAGGGCCTAATCACCTACATTTTCTCAGAATTATTCTCATGTTTCTATTGAGAATATTACTTGCTTTTTAAAAAAAATACTGAGCTGGAGTTAAAATCTAAAGAAATGGGCCTGTCTGGATA